CTCATCTGCAATCAGTAGCTAACGGATGTGAACATGCAGTAGTGTTGTGAGATGCCTGATGCTCATTTTGAGGCTTGGAGACCACTAGAGCATGCTATGACAGAATGGGGGCTGCATCACTATAGAAGTGAGGGCTCAGAGCCTGCAGTAGTAAACCAAAGTCTTCCAGGCCAGCTTTATTCCCTAAGAATAGCTGCTAGAGGAGAGAAATGCTGATGTACAGAGTCTGCTGGCAGAGGGAGGAGAATGGAGAATGGTCTAATTGGCACAAAGTGAAAGCAACATTAATTTTGGGACTCTGACCATCTATCTCATTGAGCACTGACATGCCACCAACCCCTGTTCTAAAGCTGACTGTCCAGCAGTCCACATCAATCTCAATGATTCAGCAGGGAATAAGAATGAGCCTTTTAGGTTTTCCAGCAGAAAAAAATGAACAGTTTTACAAGAAACAGACATTTATGCTGCAAATACAATTTCAAAGCCATTTTAAGAAAGCTCCCACCTGCTTCAGCCTACTCAAAGGTCCTTTTGGGTGATGACAAAGAGACTTTGGCTCATTCAGTGTCTTTACACCCCTGAAATTGCCCTGGTCACAGTGCTGAGAGCCAGGAAAGACCTTGTCTCCACCCTGCAGAGCTAGTGGTAGCCCCATAAGGTATGGATAATCCCCCTGGGCTATTGCAGAAGGGGAGGAGGAAAAATTCAAATGCAGCAAGGGCATTTGTAGTCATGTTCATTGTCCTGACACCTCTGGGCAAAAGTATCAACAGATGAGAGACTTGTTGGCACCCCTGATTTGTGTCCTACAAGGAGAGACAGGACTAAGTCAAAAATACCCAGGGAAATATTTGCAAGCTTGAAAGGTTTAACAAGCCTCTTGTCTACAAAATCATTCATGCTTTAAAGATAGAGTTTGGCTTTTGCTTCAAGTCCATGCTAAATGGGCAGCAAGTTTCTGCAAATTGCTCTGTGTACACTCACACATGTGCCAGCACTAAGCAAGTGCTTCTCTCTTCACTAAGAAAGGATAGGCACCAAGACTAGCTGGCAGAATAATCTTGGCATGTTATCCTATAAGTTAGATTCAACAGAAAGCTGGTCTTCAAGGTTTCACATTCAAAACAGTTGTACAAACAGTAAAATAGGTTTATATAAGCCAGAAAAAGCACACTTGCTTCCTGAGCAGCAGCACAAACCATTCACTAACTTCCTGAAGGTTTGGGTTATTTAAAGTATTTCACATCTTGAAAGGTCAACAGTTTCACTAATGGGGAAAAGCCCTGGAGCAAAATGCCTGACCAGTTTTTTCTCTGTAGAGTGAACACTGAGATAGCATTTATCTTGAGGCTATCAATATTTACTACAGATGGTTATAACAGGACCTTCCTCTTGCTGCACTAGTAATGAATAACACAGCCCACAAAAACATGAGAGTGAATGGACTTTTACTGTGTACAAGCCTGTGGTAAAACCCCTGGGATCTTCCTTTTCACACAGGACATTCCATAGGGTCATACGGTTAGAAGGAAATTCTGGTTGAAATAGACTCACAGAAGTCTCTAACCTTTTGCTTAAAAGGAGTATCAACCCTGAGGAGAGATGTGATTTTTCAGGGCTCTGTCTAATCTGGTCTTGAAGCCTTCCACAAACAGAGACAGCATAGTCTCTCTGATCAAGCTGTTTCACTACCTGACTGCCTTCAGAGTTAAAGTTTTTTCATATATCTAGCCCAAACCCCTCATTTCAACTCACGTCAGCTGTTGTGTCTCATCATCACTTCTTGTGTTGCTGTGAAGATTTTGGCTTGAACTTCTTAATGACCTCCTTGAAGGTAGTGGCAGGCTGCTGGGTTCCTTCTCCAGGCTGAAAAAACCCAGCTTGACCACACCATAACACCCATTGCTTAGAGCAGCTTATGGCCCATAGCCTGGGATCCAGCCAGGGGATCCAGCCAGAAGGACACTTGTGATATATAAGTCTTTGGTTTTTTTAACAGGTGTAACAATTCATGAATTCTACACACAGAAATGGAGGAAATGTCAACACCATTTCCTTCTTTAATTAAAATAAGTAAAAGAAGACTAAGAGGAAATTTCAGGTATGAATCCCAGTTTTACATGTTTCAATTATTTTTTTATACTTTAAATGTAAGTTTAAGATGGACTTGGAGCAAACTCTCAAAAGCAAATACTTCTAAATGCTGCAGGATTGAATTAAATCCTTTCCATTTGTCTGCCCTCTGTCCTTAAAATAAGCTGACCAATATCTCCACATTTCCAGTAACCCAAATGGAAGTGTCCAGGTATTCATATCCACCTCCAATTTTTTTTTTTTATTTCCAAAGTGGCTCTCTCATCCCAGTTAGCCTTTTTCTTCCTGACAGGCTTTTACCATCTACAACACAAGGTGTTCTCTTTTATGAATCTGTTTATGATCTTTCTGAAATAAAATGATCAGCAAGCAGAGCAGGAAACTAAGGAAATTAACCAGAACGTGATGGAGATCAATAGTAGCAGTTATTATCCACTGCACCAGTGGTGGAATGTGCACATTTGGATTACTTATGAAGAGCGGCACTGTCCAAAGCAGATGTCCAGCTGCCAACAAACATACTTTATCATAATGACCCTGATATTTACAGGTTGTATTAAATCCCTGCCTCCTGGATTCATGGGAATTGAGAGATTTTTATATACTAAAGTGCCCCAATTTCCAAGACAGTCTTAAGGAGCTTATACACATTTTGGACATATAACATCAGCTTGAATAAGGAAAAGTGTTTTACAGATATGCCAGGTATCTTTTGAAGACTTCAATTAAGGCCTGATTTTAAAACCACCTCCAGGCAACCTTCAAATTTTGCAGGCATGATTATGTGCAGATACCAAGACAGAGGCTGTTTGCTAATAGGAGGCCTTTAATGTTTTATTTTCTGGCCTAATGTTCTGTATTTTTCTGTTATGGAGAATCATAGAACATCCTGTTAATACAGATTTTTTTCTCCAGCATTAAAGGAGCCTACCCTTTGCAAGGCACTGAGTTATTCACAAGTGCACCCTGCTACAAAGTGAAATATGTCCAGAATAGAAAAGGCTGTAAACAACTATTTATTCCACTTCCACTGCAGATCTAGAAGGTTCTTTTCAACAATAGCAACTAAGATATGTCTCAGACGTAGCTGCTGCAGCCAGCACGTGTAGTAGTTAACACAGAGACGCAGAATTCCTACCAGCATCAGCCCTGGCCAGCCTACTGCAATAGGAAGGCAGCTCTGCCTGGACCTGTCCTGCTAGCAAGCCCAGTTTTGGGCTGCTCCTAGTTGATGGCCACTCTTCTCAGCGTTTGGGACAGACACCATAAAGCAGAATTAGAGCCTGTTAAATTAGGCTCTATTTAGGATTACTCAATTAGATCCAAGGATAGTCAAGTGAGATACCCTAGGTGCAGTGCTGTCAACTCAAATGGGCTTTTGCCTTATCATTATCCTCATATAGACTCCAAGTCCATGGAATCTGTAGCTAATGTGGCTAGGACAAGCTGTGGTTGGGATGGGAAGACCCCAGAGTGCCAACTCTTGCCAAGACCACAACAGTTTCTCTGCAGTAGGTAAAGCTCTGAGAAAGAGCTTAAGTGGCATGAGGCATCTCTAGAGATGAACTCACTGCCAAAACCTGACCACGTAAGTAGGAAATTCAAGTATAGACATTCTATCTTTTCATGCTGCCCAGCATGCATCCCTGCCTGCAGACATCTCTGTCCTTTTCCGCACAGCTAAGCACCAGAACATAGCTGGGGTACCCAGCTCTCAGCCCTACTTACCCTAGCACTCCATCAAAGCTGTAACTGCCAGCTTTGCACACACAATGTCACTTGTGGAAAACAAATCTGAGGATGTCACTGATGCACTGAATACACTCACTGCCTTCATGCAGGCCCTTCATTTGGTGTATGGGAGACTGGGGACAGACAGATTCACAAAAGAACCTAATCTTGACCCTGACTGTGAAGGAAGAGAGTCAACATTCTGTAGGCTGTGGCATCCTGAGCTTTCCAGGGAGAATACATGACCAGCAAAGAGATATCTATTGCTTAAGAGAGACAAATTCACATCTTCAGCCAGTGTATCAGTGAAATTATTTTCTTGCTATAACATAAAGGTTAAACTACAATAAAGTAGCCAAGGCATCAATTCAATGATAGAGATACATAAAGGATATCCTTTTGCTAGAGTAATTCTGGCCAAACTGCACAGACTTTCTAGTTTATACCAGCTAAACATAAAGCTCATGGTATTAGAGCAATGTGCTCTTACAGTATTCAACAAGTATTGATAGATAGCTACATGTCCTGGCTACTTGCCAAGCCCAAATTAACCACCTGAGCTACTGCAATACATGCCTAGAGGCAAAAATATAACTGCCATCATGCCAATATTAGGACTGGTCTGCGGAGTTTATTACCAAGCTATTACTCTTAGAGACAGCCTCACATGATGGAAAAATGCTGATTTTTAAAAAAAGGTCTATTGGTTAACCCTGGGCATATTACTATAAATGATTTTTAAATATTAGTGTAAGTATATAACTACTTTATTCTACTGTTGCTTTGCACCTTTGATGTCAGCTCATTGAAGAGAGTTCTGATCTGGAATATTATCTTTCCATCTCCAGGGACATACTGGGGATTTCATATTGAGGAAGTTCAGTATTTTAGTCATGCATAACCATGTGCAAGCTGCACACCTTCACTCACATGGTTAAAAGGAGAGCAGGAAGGGACTTGCATGCATTTTCAACCCCTACTTTGAGAAGGACTGAGAGATTAATGCCCAGGGATGTGTATGCCAAAGGCAGGAAAGCACAGGAGAGGTGGGTTCCTGCTTATGTCTCCCTGATGTGCCTGGCCAGGATTGGGCTGACCCCCTTCCATGCTCAGCCCTAATCTCCTTTGACTTTCTCTCAGCTCAAATCAGAGCAGTGTTGCGCCCAGCCTCTCACCTGGCCATCAGTGGTGACCGCAGCAAACACTGTGGAGGAGTAAGGAGACCATGCAACATCCCCTACAGCAGTACTCAGGTCATAAACAAACAATGGAGTCCTATAGAAAAAGACACAGAGAGAATTCATGTAAACACAGGCCACTCTGGAAGTGTAACACTGAGCCATGAACACATCGATGTTGCAGAAGTGGGAGATGGAGTATTTCTCGATGTCATATGACAGCCGGGGTCTGAGCCAAAGGAAAAGCTGAGCACCAATACAAATGGGTCAGGATTTGCTGCAATGAGAAGAAAGGTAATATGTTTCTTTCCTTCTTTCTTTCTTTCTGAAAGCATTTTGAAAACTTCTTCCTAACAAACACAGCAAGATGGAGTCTCTCTGGTTAATATTAATAACCATATGGGAAAAAATTATCTCCCTTCTGACAATATTGAATATTAGAACAGTATTGGCAACAGAAAATATGTGACTCTGACTGATTCACAACAAAATCAGTTTCCTGATTGAAACCAGACATTCCTTAACCACTAACCCTGAACTTCATCCCATATTTTAAAATGTTCCAATTATTTTTTTTTCTTCTCTGGCTCTTAGGAGGTTTTTGGCCCCTGAAGATAGAAACCTGTCCCTGACATTTCTCTGTAGCATTTCTCTGCTACAGTAGGTTCTGCCTGAAGGAAGCCAGATCTGAAGTAAAGCAGTCAGGCTCTGGGCTGACTATGCTGCTTGGCAAGTTCCTGGGGAAGCCAATGCTATATCTTATATCTCATATCTGGGAAGTACAAATCTGAGTACAAAAAATAAAACTGCAATTAACATTATCAACATCTGGGAAGGAAACTGAGACTAATGTATGAGTAGAGTCAACATGTGCTGTTGGCATGTCAGGCTGGACCTCCTCACCCACACCACAACCCAGCAGGACCTACCTGATGGTGTGATCCCAGATCTTGACTGTCCAGTCAGAGCTGCAGGAAATGAAGACTTTCAAGTGGAAGGGATTCCAGCTGATTGAGTCCACAGCCATGTGATGGGCTTCAAACACATCCAGAAACTGGCTTGAATATGTTTTTGAACACTGCAATGGAAAGAACTACTCAGTAATCAGAGCTAGACCTCCTGAAGCTTAAATTCATGTAGGAAGATGCCTCTGATTGCTTGTATGGCCTCTCAGGATCTTCTGGGCTGGCTGGGAAGAGGTGGCTGGTACTTAGAGGTGCTACAGAAAATCAATAATTTATCACATGCTGTTTCACCCCACTTGCAGGCAACATCCTGCTCCCCTCTGCAACACACAGAGATAGGATTTGGAGTTGTGTGGTTGGATTTAAACAAGCTAGACCTCAGAGACTATTCTCCACAGTGGGAGCTATATTGCCTTCCTGCCAGCCTGAGCTCCTGCTGTGCTTCTCCTGTGTAAAAGGTTCACAGGAAAGGCAGGGGAGAACTTCCCTGCACTGCTCAGGAGCACTGTGTGCTCACAGTACCATGTACTGCTCAGAAGCACAAAAGCCCACAGCACTATGTACACTTGAAGTGTCACAGTTAAAACCTCCAGCAACCATGTTCTCAGCACAAGAATGTCTTACTGGTCCCTTTGACTCTAAGGACTTTGGAAAGATGCTGTAAGTCCCCTCCTGTCACCACCCTAGACAGCCTGCTCTGTCCCATCATACAACTCTGCAGTTCTTTCTGTTCTGCCACTTGAGACTTCCCAGAGCAGTGTGAGACCCACAGAGGTTGTCCAGGAGTCAGGCATGTCCCTGACAAGCCAGGGGGGCCCCACTGAATGGCAGCCAACAGCAACCTTGAACTGGACAATGCCTATGGAGACATGCAAGGGTCAGACCAGCAGCATCACAGCTGTGGATGCTGCTGAATTGCAAAATGAAGGATATTGTTAAGAGCTGGAAAAGGAAAACATTTGGGATCCTTGGAAAAGTCACTTTGTGTGTGAGCTTATGAAGCAGGGAGAAATTACAATCTAATTGGCTGCAAGGGGAATTGATCCAGATCCTGTCAGTTCTGTGTACACAGAAATTTTAGGTTATCCTCCCCAAACCTCCTTCCCTCCAAGCATGTTAGAGGCTTCCTTTATTAGCAACAAAGACTCCCTCTCACGTGAATTTTCCTTTTGCTTGTGTTCTCACAAGCTGTATTCATACAGCAGCTTGGAGTTAGTTTCAGGATTTTCTGTTGGCTTGCCTCACTACTGTCACAGCAATGACTTTTCATTACTCCCTACTGAATGCAGCACCACATCATCTGCCCAAGCAGCAGGATTTCTGAAGTGTTACATAACTTTAACCCTTGCAAACCAAAATCTAACTAATCTTAAGGCTTAACTATTTATTACAAGTGACACGGTCTGGCTACTGTTCACTGTTGCAGGCATTGGAATAAGGGTGCTAAACCATTCCCACAGTAGCAGCTCCTACATCCCTGAGAGCCTTGTTGTGGTAGGAAATGGAAACAAGAAAGTGGCTCATGTCCCATTGAGATTTACTGACAGTATCTATAGCTTGTTAATAGTTTATTGGATACACTATATTGCTGCCCCTGCATTTAATTGTGGGGCAGAAATCCTCTTTAATGTCATGTTTTGTAACATTACTTCAAAATTCTTATTGTTCAGCCACCAGGAAAATCAGTATTTGGCTTGTTTTGAAAGTCACTTTGCTGGAAACAACATGATGGGTCACAAGTAATTGACACAAGAGAGAAGCTGCTTTGTCCTTTCAAGTGTGTGGATTGAATGTCCGTAATAACTGAAAACTTTGAAGAGTGAGGCATTAACCAGATTTGTCTGCCTCCAACAGAATTGTAATGCTCAGTGGCCTGTTTTCAAAGGCTTGCTGGGACTAAGCCCTTGATCAGGGCAGCTCTCTGGGCACTGGTACAGGAGATCATGCTCTGGAATGTGCTGATCTACAGAACTATCTTTGATATCTCCACGACAGGAAAGGGATCTGCATTTTTTTATATGAAATCAGCAGCAAAAAGATTTTTGCAGACTCTCACCTGTGTCCCTTATGAGAAATGAACCTTGCAACGTGTGCTTTAGCCTAAAGGCATCCACTGTGCATTGGCAGTGCCTGCCAGCTCCACACCACATTAACTACAATCCTTATCATTACTTCTGAGTGCAAGACAAGGCTGCTTTCTTCCCAAGATGCATTTTGAAGAAACACCACAAACTTGAGAAAAAGCTCAGAAAAGAAGTATAACTTTAATGAATAAAAACAGCTTATGAACTAACTAGAACTGCTGGCAAAGTTTTTCCCTACCATTCAGTTCAAGAACCCTACAATTATTAGATATGTCAGTATGAAAACAGAACCATTGGAATATGTGACACCTAAGTTCTGACAGGAGAGCTTTGAAGAGGATGACTAGATTCAGAGAGAAGGAATTTGTGCAGCCTCTCTGATCTTCCAGAGCACTGCTCGAATTTGCTGGGAGTATTTTTCTCCTACTTAAATGATGGTAGACATGTTTGAATGGTAAACATATTTTTATGACGAGACAGAAATGCGAAAATACATTTATGGCAATACAGAAAACCAGTCAAAGATGACTCTTAACAAGGCTACGAAACATGGGGGAGGAATACTGGGAGAAAAGGAGAACTCTGAGGACACAAAACTTATGAATAATCTTCATCAACAGCACTTCAGTTTACGCTAGATGTTAGTCTGACACAAAACTCTCTCACATACCTGGTGAATTGGTGGTTATTACTCTCCTTATAAGGTAGAGAGTTTCTTCAGTTCACTAACAGGAACACAGAGAATCTACACAATACAGAAATCCAAGAGCAATTTTTTTTAGAGGAGGTTTGTATCTAGCGACAGAAAGACAGTACTGCCCAACACTGGCACTTTCAGGCAGCTCAGGACATCCAGATGCTCTTTAAAAACCAGACACAAATGTGTCCCATGTTGTGGTGGACAATCTGTCGCCAGCTACACCAGATGCTCTCCTGGTTTTAGCTCAGTGACTGTACAGATCTGTAACAGAAATGCTGAGATTTGCAGAACAGCTCACAAATAGAAACCAAGGCACATGAACACATAGGGAGGAACAAAAAGAAATGGTACAAGAAAGAACCTGTGGTAATTGATTAAAATTCAGTCAATCCAGGAACTAGACAACCAGACAGAACACACACACAAGCCCGAAAGTGGTGAGAAGATGAGGAACAGAACCCAAACCATAAAGTATTCAGACACAGAAAACAACTTTGCCTAATACAAAGCAAGGCTGAACACTGAGGCAAATGATCTCTCTACTACTAAAGGGTCACTGAAGTCAAGAGTCTGTCCAGAAAACAGTTTGTCTTCCTGTTTTAAGGAAAACTCAAGTGATGTGATAAGGATTCAACAACCACCATCCTTTGTCATCTCTAATAATAATAATCCTGTCCTGAACAGAAAGATAAAAATGTTCCAGTATGTAGTATAAGACAATGAGTATGAGTGGAATTAGTTTTGTTTAAAATTAGAATAACTCTTTCTTCTAGTCAGTCTTGCACTAGGTTTTATTATATTCATTTGTTACTCTCAAGAAAGCTGCCTAACACCAAAAAAAAACAAAGCCCTTCTTACATGAGTGTATTCAAATTTCTTCACAATTTTTCTACTGAAGGCCTGATAATTGGAAGTTATTCTGACCAGAGACTTAGAGTCACAATGTTACAACACCAACCTCAGAGACCATACTTTTTGATGTCAAACTGAACATTCCTAAACAGCCAGTAAGATACGCAAAAAAGCATTCAGAATTGCGTTACAGAATCATATTAATGCAGAAACAGTTTCTCCTCTACAAAAAAGGGCAATAGATTAGTCTGTGTGTAATTTAGATAATGATTTCTTAGCTTCAGAAACACTATTAACGAAGCCATTTTCAGAATTTCACCATAATTGTTCTGCAGCTAAAGAATTAACATATTATCATGCTATTTGTGGGCATGTCTGCTTTCTGGTGAAATAAAAAAAAGTTTCTCTGGAATTCACTTTCCAAATTATTTAATAAATAAGCTAAAATTTAGCCCATGGGGAGAACAGCCTGTGTTTGATCCCCGACTCAGACAGCATGTGACTCAAGATGCAAGTGCAGCACAGAGATCTGAGCAGCTCACTCCTGTTTAGCGCAGCCACAGGACCTGAGAGCTGCTCAGGCTACCATGGGGCTGTCCCTGTTCCCAGTATCCAAGTGGAGCAAGGCTGCAGGAGGTAGCAAGTGGTATTCCTTGAGAAATGTCTGGAGCAGAAGCTGACCCCAAAACTTTTCAAATTGCTTATAGCAAGCTCTTGGGGGATGCTAAGGGTGGAATCACTCTTTCCCGTGTTTTCTGTAGATACTGTGAAAGCCTGCTACACACAAGACTTCCCTGTGTTGACCCCCACAGTCTGATTGAAGATAGGCTCTTCCTGCCCATGAGACCAACAGGGTTTTATAGGGCTGTGCTGCACAATGTGAGAATGGTCACTTTTCACTGAGGCTAACAAATTCAAGAATGTTGCTTATCAGTAACCCTGACAAAGAAAGGGGAGATGCTATGTATCAGTGTATCTCCACATTTGTCCACATAAGAATGCTAAAACATCCGCATGGCTTCATGGCTGGGATCACTTCTTAGGTTAAAATCCTATCCTAGTTCTCGTTTCATTGAAGATGATCTAAGGCAGAAACATCTACAGCTTTTTCAATGTCAAATTGTCTCCTGACCAGTGTTCCTTTCCTGTAAAACTCAGCCAGGACACAATACTAAATATTTCTCCTGATGGCCCCCATCTCACTGATATCCACTGCCACACTCACATATATGCATCACTCACCCAATCACAGAGGAATTTAAAACCTGTAGTTCCTTACTGCCTTTAGATCAGGACTAAACACAACCCATCAATTTAAAGTTCAATACCCAGGGGTACCAACTCTTGTGGGTGATCAGACAACTCAGAACCTCTGCCCATGACTGTATAGATATTTTGTGTTCTGAAACACCAACAAAAAAAGAGTGCACCTACCCACTGCCCACTGCCATCAGCTCAGCTGCCCACTCCTCCCACCTCCCTTCTGTACCTATCTTGTCCAAAGCAAGTGAGCACTACTCAGAAATCCTGCCTAGATACTGCCTGGCAGAGGGAGAGATTTCAATTAGCATCATCACTTTGCAAGGGATACTTACTTGTTAAGCACATCTTGCCTAAATGATTGATACTGATTTCAAAATATGATTTCCTTTCGGTCATTATTCTGTTTCAGGTACATTTTGCAGGTGGGATAAGGGGGAAGGAGTTTAGATCATCCTCTAGGGATGGCTGGATGCATCTGCTCTGCATGTCAGCCTCCTGCTGATTGGCCATACCCCCAGGATGAAGGGCTGTGGCTACAGATTTAACAGAGCCTCGGAGCCAGCTCAGAGGAATGCTGTGCAAATAACAGTTGTATTAGGAAGACACTACTGGCTTTATTTTCAAGCTAAATACAGCAGAACTCAAAACTTTCTATTTTTAATTCAATTTCTCAAGAAAACATGATGCTTGTGACCTTTGGTGTGCTCATCTCTCTTCACAAACAACTTTTGCCCTTGCTGGCAATTTCAGCCAAAGCTGGCTGCATTTGGGATGTGGTAACATTAAAGTCTTACACATTCTGTGAAAAGCAATGGCCAAAGAGAACAAAACATCTGGGCAATGCCCCCAGTGTGGGAAGGGCAAGCACAGTGTGGCTACTGCACTCGCCACATGGCTGGAGCTGGCTGGCTGACAGCTCCTGCCTGGCACAGGGAACCAAGGCACCAGGCTGCAGGAGGACACTGGAGGGGAGGTAGCCAGCACTGTCTGCAGAAAACAAGGGTTATAGTGTGGAGGTCGGATCCCTGGGCTAGGAACAACATGGGGTGTTCAGGAGGAGGAAGGTTTGGGTATGTAGCAATGGACTGGGATAGGAGAGCAAGAAGAAAGTGGGACTGGGAAAGGATCTAGAAAGATTTTAAATGTCTTTTCCAACCTAAATGATTCTATGATTCTATGTGATTGTGGAAGGGAAGGGCTGCAGGATGCTAATCCATAGGAAATATGGCTTCATTAGCCTCACTGCTCACAGTTATCCTAAAAAGGAAGAGAGTCTAAGAGGAAAAGAGTCTAAAAAGGAAAAGAACTGATATTTTTCCTGCCATTTCCCCACAGTCATGGGGACAGAAGATCAATGCCTTTTAACTTCTGCTCTGATCCTACTTAGCACTTCACTTGCACAGCTGCAATCTGCAAAGCATTTTCTGGGATGCAGTTTGCATGAAAAAAGTTTCTGCAAAACAGGGTCTTAATTGGGTCTGTTGAGAGAGCTCCCTGTGACCCTCTGCAGTGCTGGTCTGGTCTCAGGCTCATCACAGGCATCCCAGGGCAGGACTAGGCTCTGAAGCTGTACTTTGTTCCCACCTGAGCAAACAGTTCAGATGATGAGCCTGAAAGAAACACATGGGTCAGGGGAAACAAAGGATAAAGAAATAATTTTTACCTTATAGATCTTGCCCTCTTCAGTACCAACGAGAAACAAATAGTCTATCTTTTTGTGAAAATCAAATGATGTCCCGCTGCCTGTTAACAAAAAAAAAAAAAAAAGTCTGCCACATAGAGAATTGGTTCAACTGGCCAAAACATGCTTCCTGCCTATGGTAAACACACACTGCCTGTGTTTTCAGAAGTGATTTATTAGCCAGAAGCTCCCAAAAGAAATCAAAACCACCCCTTCTACTAAACTTTCCAAGTGTGTGTGTCCCCAAGACCTGCAATTTGAACAGTCACCACCAAAGACATGTAGAAGGGTACTGAAAGAACCAGAAGGGAACGGGAAACCATTTTAGCCTAGGATTCATTTTACTAAAAGCCTAAAATACCTGGTGTAAACATAAATATTGTAAGGACCTTCTACTGGGGAAAACAGATCTTTTCTGTTTATTTAGTATCCACAAAAATTTAAGTGGCTTCCTATGCATAAAAGAGCCCAATGAGAAAGTATCCCATCATACCTGCTTGTGCTCTTTTTTCCCTTAATTCAAAATCCATTTAGCAGGCTCACTTCAGTAAAGCCAATAGCAAAGAATGTGATTTGGGAAGAAATTCTCTGCTAGGGACAGAAGGATCCTGTTAATGTCAAATGCCCTGAGTTGTGCAACATTGTGAACTATGTTTAAAACAGGTGTCAACCGCAAACAGGATGTGACTCACTGAGATTTTGTGGCTTCTGCTCCTGAGGCAGATGCATCACCATCCAAGAAAGCCAGTTCACATGTTGATAAAAAAAAAAAATTCAGCAGGGGTCTTGAGCAGAAAATGGGATGTCTGTTGAGTGCCAGAACTACTTGAGGCTGTCCCTACCAGCAGGGATACCAACAGCAACCATCAGATGAGAAACAGGAATGAGCAGACAAGGCTCAGAGGCACACAGTTACAGAAACTTTCTGCACAGGCAGTAGTCTCAAGCATTATGTCTTTAACATTAACAAAATGTAGTTCTCAAAGGAATTGTTAGGGTAATTTCAACTCTCTAATACCATCTGCATTTTTAACATTCAAATAGATTGTTTAATATTCAAGACAAGTCTTTGAAAATCCATTTCCCAGTAACATTAACAAATAATTCCAAAGCCCTGAGAGTTCTGCAGTGTGCTGCTTTAGCCAGTTTCTTGCAACCTATTGTGGCACTGCAAAGCTTCCCACAGAGTGTTCAGCAGTTACTAGCGTAGAAACACAGCAATTCTTAAAAGCAGAGCAAGGCTCTCCTCCAAACAGAGGTCCCATCTTCTCAGCCAAAAGCAGGTGTAGAAGGATGATAAGAGGATTCCTCAAGGACTTTCTTATGTTCAGGACCTCCAGAGCTGACTCATTCCATCCTGTCTCAAATGCATGATGATCAGGATGTGAGTATTCAGCCTAGAGGGACTGCATTGACTCCACTTTGTATGGAGGGAGCCTAATATAGTAGCTCAGAATAGATGCTGTGTTTTTATAGAGCCCAAACTCGATGAGACACATCCCAAAGCTGGCTGGGTGAACTGTGCACTCAGGAAAGGGCAGAGGTTGCTTTTCACCTTGATTTTGCCAATCCAGATCAATGTCTGACAAGAACAAAACTGAGCTTTGACACAAACAAGTGTGTACTTTATCCACACAGAGATAGTAAAATGGACATTTCTTGAATTAATGTTCACTTCATCTTTTTATGTAAGTAAAGGCAATATGTAACCAGTAAAACTTGACTCAGTGGCTATTGCTCCAGACAGACTTTGCCCTACTGTATGATGAAAGCAAGGAGGCATAACCTTCATTTAGCTCCTTTCCATCTCAACACCCTGCTCCCAGTTTAATTTCCCAGAATGACTGATTAGAAGCCTTTGTGTCAGTAAATAATAAGCATGGCAAGAACTTGGACTCTTACCAAGAGTTTGCAGCTGCAGCCCCTCTGGCCCCTGCATCGTTGTTTCATCTGCTGACAGCTTGATGACATCCATGTGAACCAGCTCATTCTGCAGGCAGAGGAGATTCCACATGAATAGCATGCTTTGCAGCAACAATACAGAGACATTCAGTACTTTGAAACAGCAAATTTTATGGAGGAATTTTAAAAAGCTGGCCAGAAGTTGCTTAATGTTTCACATTTGGCAGCTTGCTAACATGGTGCTTTCCACAAAACCTTCAGGAGAGTGATGCTTTGGTGCACTGGAACTGAGAGCCACTGGTACATTACCTTGGCATATGCACCTGACCTGGAAAATTTTGAGTTTCAGGGTCAGTGTTTGTTAGTGAAAGTTGGCACAGTCAGCTTAAATCATAGTGTTTCGTTAAATCGCCCTGTGTGGTTTAAGCTGGATATTCCATATTCTCAGGGGGCTAACTAAAGCCTTACATTACTGAATAATAACTTATCATCTTTCTGGTTCTTGCTTCTTAACATCTTGTTATCCCCAGAGCAGCCTCAGTTCAAAATACTCTCAACTTCATGGGCTCTGAGAGGCCAGCAACATCTAGCAAGCAGTTTGCTCAGAGGGAAAACTGTCCCATGTTTCTGCTCTCAGCAGAGTTCTAAAGAACTATCATGACACTGCTGTGCAAGGTGATGAACCCAGGGCCAAAAGGTTGTGTCCCAGAGAGTTTACAGAGGAGGTGGGAGGCAAAAGACAGATGTAAATAGACACAATGTAGGTAAATACAAAGAAATATAAACAAAACCAGAGGGAAAGTTACATTCTCAGACTAGCTTTGGGAGTTGGAATACCACTGCAGAATGGAGTTGGCTGTGACTGGGGCTCCAGAGGTCACTGCCAACCCCAACCATTCTGTGATTCTCTGAATATGTGATAAAAAGAACAAACAATGATTAGTGAGCAGTACGGGCTCCAGTGTGGACTGGATAGTATAATCTGCAAATATCCCACCAAAGCACTGTGGGAACAAAACATAACTACTTAGCTCAGTGAATTAAACTGTAGTTGAAGCTTCTCTTAGCCCAGAGCAGGACTCAGGTGGAAAAAGAGGTTCTGCCTGGCAAAGTCAACTCCAAGAATTTCCATGTTGGGGAATGTGGGAGAAGATCTTGTGGGTACCTGTTCAGTACTGCAGTTGAGAGAGGACAATGTTCTATAAGGCATTTTTATCATACTCTGGGGATACAAAGTTACAGAAGATTCAACAAAGGTCAAAACCCTATAATGTTCCTCCTTCTCACTAATTCTCACTGCTGCACACCCACATGCACTGGCCTATTGACAGCAGTAAATTGTTCTGTGAGAGAGCAGCAAGAAGCAGGACAGACTCCTGCAGAGTTCCACCTTGCAGCTCTTACAGCACGCTGGTTACAAGTCTGATCCAGTGGGCAAAGGCAGGAGAGATGCTAAGAAAGAGGCCACACATGCTGGTGTACATGTGTATGAACTGGAAAGAGCAGCACCCAGAGGAATCGGGAGCAAAGCATGTCCCACTGCACGTTCAAATACGAGTGCTGGTGCATTGTTGGGAGTGCAGGCAGGACAAGCTAAGCAGGCACTTACCCCTGCTCAGGCTCGCAGATCTGCCTGCTCCCCAGAAAGCATGTGCCCTGTCAAGACATGAGTCCAGTCTAAAGAGCAGCTTTGGAGCTGCTGCAGTGGGTCATGTTGATACACCCAGTGTGACAGACATGTGATCTTTGCAGGCCCACCGATGTGCTGGTACACTATCTCTGTGTTCTGGTAGAAAGGCAAACCTCAAGAGACCTTCCTTCTAAGGATACACCTTTCTGCAGCATTCCTCTGATGATTTCTGCCAGTACCTTCACATGGCAGAGGCCCCTGTGGAAAGTCTCTGCAAGCCCTGTCCTTCACAAAGAATCCTGCTTGTGCAGACTCCCCTGCTGTGCTGGTTTTATCTTGTACCCAGCTTCACAGCATAAAAAGTGCTTCTGTTCCTGGGGCTCTTTGTCACCAGAGCCATTCACTTATACCTCTGGGTAAACAGCCTGCTGACAATTTGGCCTTCCAGAAATACCAAGCAATAATATGTTGCTTCTGCCTAATAATTGCAGAGCACTTTGTAAGCATTAGTGAATCAGGCCTTACAGCTGCTGTTTTCCCCTTAGTTCTTATTAGCCTTAAGTGATGAAGCAGGTCCAGAGCTGTTCAGTAATTTAGCTGTAGGTCACACAGGAGGGGGTGAACTACGACTACTAATCAAATATGGGATTGCTGAGCATCAGCCTGAGAAGCAGTGCCATTCTGCATCCCAAACAATTCTTTGAAATGGCTGAGACATTTCTCCTTTTTGATAGGCAATGTGTACATCCAAGGAGGGGGCATAGAATAATCCAGAAGCACAAGTCCTGCATCCTTCCTTGATGTTTTACACATTTATGAGGACCTACAGACAAGACAAGATAGTGTAAGTACACAGAACTCATGTGTTTTTTCATGAAATTTGTCCAACATGATTGTGCCCATTTCTGACAGAGACAACCACTATGATCAAGGCAGATCAAGTGTCCCTGGCTAACATTTGAAAACTCTTCTATCCAAATCTTGAGTATGGTTTGCCAAATATTCAGCTGGAAGAAAGAATGAAATTATTCACTTTGTTCTCTCAGCTTTGAAAGTGTCAAACAGCTAACAGTGTTTGAAGAAGCTTTATTTCTGGATAGCCCTCTCAAAAAGATTAACGAAGCACTCTTTCCTTTATTCCCTGTTTGCACCATGGTTTTGTAGACTAGAAAACCTCTCAAATGACTTCAGTTTTACTCTAAATGAAACCCAAAAAAAGCTCTTGTGAAACTGGAATTCAAGCAGATTGTCCATTTCTCCTTGCTGGATAAAAACCCCACAGATTATAACAAAACATTCTTTTCATCCCGTTTCTTGTTTTCCCTGTTAAATATCTGTCCCCCTCAAAAATGTCCAAAACAGACAGCACCTAAAACACCGCTGTTGGTTACAAGTCTGAGGTACAATTTCTGAGGTAATTTCATCTAAAAAATAAAATTAAAAAAACTTAAAATAGTCTTTTCACATGGCCAAGTTTATTACAGTAATGCAAGGAATAAGTAGAAATGACAATGGGCTAAGTGGATGCAGATCTTAGAAATCATATTAAGGATATTTTGAAAAAAATAACTATGTGCTCAAGGGACAGCAAAAACACAGATTATGATGAGGAAAAGTTAAGCACTGGTGCAAAAGACCCTCTGCTGGGTGAGCTGCTATCAGAGTCCATCTGCAAACACCTAAGTTGTGCCAGATACGGCATTTCTCAGTCAGTGTTTCCTGCCTCCTAAGGGGAAATGTGCTGAGACTCAGTTACTGGGGCTCAGTTAGTAATTGCACCCTGCCAAAACACCTCAGCTGGTATGTCTGGCTGCTGGCATGTACTGCCCACTTCAACCCAAACCTTTTGGGTATTCCTACTCAGGGGATGGCCTAGATTGCAAGGCAAGATGTATTCTATTTGCCATCTCTTAGAGGTGTGGCAGTTTATCTTCTGTTAATTGGGCATCTTTCTTTATCTCTTCCACAAACCAATACTCCCCCATGGGGAGACATCTGTTGTTAATGGTCTATTGAGTGTCACTGCATGACTGATAAAAGTTTCAGCATCCCATTGTGAGATGCTCACCCCAGAGGGAAGAACCAAGCATGCCTACCTGGATATAATCTGAGTTTTTGGGACAGCAGACTCAGCCTTTCCACAGGATTCCCAGAAGAGCAGCTGCCTTTTCCACTGGATCTTCAGAGGAAGACTACACCTTTTCTACAGGATCACTGCTCCAACAGAACCACACCTGACACTCCAGGAGGACTGCAGCCATTCCAATTTGAACTGCTACCAACACCCTGACCAATAGGGTGTCAGGTTGTATTCTGACTCTGTCAGTGGTTTTTCTTTTGTATTATCATATGTATTTTGGTTTTTGTTTTTTTTTCCTTTTCCTAATAAATTGTCTTTCTGACTTGGAGTCTTTCACTGGTTTTGCTTTCAAACAAGAACAGTGGAAAACACAGGAGCTGAGTGCTGAGACTCTCTTAATCTGTCCCTGTCTAGGAAGCTCTTTTGGGAGAAGGACTTGGGATGCATTTGCAGAAGGAATTTTTGATTCTGAAGCTGCATGTAGGAACCTGGAAAAGTCTATTAAAAATAACTTTAAAATCTGTACCATCTGCCTGTGCTTACACTGTTCATTAGGAGATGCATTTGTTCCTAAACTGGACATGAGGCTCAGATTTACATATAATGCTAGAAATTAATCCCTGCCATGGCAGCAAGGCCTAAAAATTTCAGAACAGGCAAGCCTTGGAATAACAGATTGAAAAATGAGCATTGTAGGATGTAAAGAAATTTCTTCTTTTGTTGAAGAATAATGGGACCACTGCTTCAAACTCATATTTAGGGCAATGCTATTATTTTTAGCAAGAGGTTTGAAATTTTTAAATGTAAAATGAAATAGCCAACAGAAAAATCCACACATTGGGATTCAGAGACATGAACCTAAGGGTCATTTTGGGACATTAATTCTGGATTTCTATCAACGTATTTCAACTTACTCCAAAAGGAAAAGTGAACAAAGGCAGGGCATGCAAACCAGTTTTACAAATTTGTATTGGATGTGTATTAGAGTAGGTAATGTCATGGCAGGGGGAAGCACTCTGCCTGTCTGATAGAATGCTGCCCAATGCAAATGCAAACTTACTCTGTACTTCTCACTCTGTCTCACATAGGGAGAAATTTAAATTGATACTCTCCCAATTCAAATTGCAATCTGTAGGGAAGCATTTTGGGGATAAGAATCTGGAAGTGGTGAAATAAAGCAGATTATTCTGTTCTATGTCTGGTTGACCCTTCTGGGACAAAGAAAGTGTGAGAACAAGGACCAGGCTTGAATTCCTGCTGTTGCCAAGTAGGAAAATGATCTCTCATTTTCAGGCCCATGGGGTGCTACAGGGGCAGGCAGGATGAAGGTTAGGTCCTGACAATGAGTAGGCTGACCCTGCTTCATTTCAGAGTTTAATGTGGAGCCTCAGATCCAGCTGTGACTGCACCAGCTGCTATTGCTAACATTTCTTTTCAAGCTCATTAGAAATAAAAATAATACTAATGAATCACTGAACTATTGAGGCAATTGGTTATAATTTGACTGGAAAAAGAAATTGCCACCTACTGTTTACCTTAACTAAAGTCCATGAAACAATCCGCCCATCCGAGGAGACAGAGAAGAAGTTGGAATTGTTATCCATGTCATCCTTCTGCCACTTGACCTTAAAACAAGAAGAAACAAGAAGACAGTCGTAGTCAGCACAAGGCTTTTAGCGTTAGCAGGACAGAGCCCCATAGCGTCAGCAAGGTCTTCTGAAAGCCTTTAAAGAGCAGCTGTTTTGCACTCCAGAGGCTTGTTGGTGTGAACACTTATCTCCATCAGCAATTTTAGAACTGTCCTGAGCACTCTGGTCAGTCGCTTTCCTGCAGGATGCTCCTGCAGGAAAGGGAGTAAGGAAAGGGAGTAAAGCCCCTCACCCGGAAACTCTGCACCTACCCGTGGCCACTGGAGCAGTGCCATCAAGGACAGGCCTTATGAGACATCTGAGCTATGCACCAGATCTCTACACTGTGGCACAGCACCATCCCAGAGAGCCCTAAGACATCTCCAAACACCACCAGTGGCACTCACAAAGGTCCCCAAGCATAAGCCTTGCCTTTCACATTTGACTAATTACATTACTCCAAGTGCAGTGCCACATGGCTACCCTTCAACCAGACAACCTCAAATTAGCTTTCTGCCCCCTATGTTAGGTGCAGGCAAGACCTTGCAAGCAACATGTGAGAAGGGTCCTTGGGGCACTTCTGTTTCAGGGAGATGAAAACTTCTCCATTAAAATTGAAATCCTCCCTACACCTTCAGAGCATCTGTCTGCCTGGTAAGATTTGCGTTTCAACTGTGACAGCTCAGCAGGAGAAATTAGAACTCAGATAAATGGCTTACAGTTTAGAAGAGACTTTTCAGTTAGACCAAAAGCATTAAGAACACTCGATTTTCAGATCTGGGAATTCAATCAGACTGAAGGGAAAAGAATGACTTGTCACTGGGTCTGTCAGCACACACTCCTGTTGGCATCTGTCAGATGAGGATGGGGACAAGCACTTTAGAAGGTTCTTAGAAACTTTTCAAAGGTATATCTGTTTCTGTCCAAGTGTGGAGCAGATAGAGTTCCCTAAACATCATCCTATAAACATGATAAATGAGTTTGATCATCCCAGAACTTACCAAATACTCTCTCCATTACTACTTATGTAACTCATACCTAGTTCAGAAAACAAACAGCCTTCTCAATACTTTAATTACACAGATTGGGTATTCCTGTGACACGTCCTTGCAAAAAACTGTTAATTCTCTTTTGTAATGTTGTTTATACTGTGAAGTTCTGTGGAGCATGAAAATTAAGCAAGAGATTCGGCAAGAGACTCGGCAAGAGCAATTAAGTAAGAGAGTAGTTAACCCTCCACTGAACGTTTTCTTCCTTTTCTGAGGAAGGAAAAATAGAATGCAAGAGGAATTCATCTGAGAATACCTCAAAATGCCAGCTTCATGCCTATAAGACACAACTGAAGAGCTTTGAGTGGCATATACCCTTGAATATCCCTGCACAGGTGAAATTGTAAGTTTCTATGTGGAACTACTTCTTTTTTCTGGCATTAAAGGAATAGCATAATTCAATATGACCCAGAATAAAAGGATTAATTATCAAAAAGCAGGTTCAACATGACAATGATTGCCAAGGCTGACCCATTGTGGACAAGATGTGCTGGGTATATCTATTCCAAGAACATCTCCCTGTGATCATGAGCTACTGCTGACAGTGACAGTCACTAGCAGCTGTTTCAGATGAACGAGGTGGTGTAGTGAGAAGTTTTAATTCAAGGTGAGAAATGCAGAGCTCATGGACACTGGTTACAAAAACATGTCCAATCTGCTTCATGCTGGGCACAGAAAAAAGGTCATATTTTGAATCAAAAGATTTTTTAAATGTCACTCTAAAATGGTCTGACAGTAAGACTTTTTTATGTGTATGTCCAACACAGTTCTCCTCTAACTTATGTTCTTTCTCTCCAGCTTGCTGTCCCAGATATTTGGGAAAAACTTTGCAGCCATCAGACTACTGGCAAATACATGGATGAAGTTCAGTAGCTTTAGTCCATCCCCATCATTCTGTGCAGACACAACTTCTGGGTCCTGAAAAAAAAACAACTTCTGGGTTCGGAGTGTTGCAAGAAACTCATCTGGAGGTAACCAAACAGCATAAGAGCTATCATGACCTCATGTGGGGTTTTCCCAAGATAATTCCTTTCAGCATTCCCAAAGAAAAGAGTTTTTAACCCAACGTTTGCCTACTCCAAATAACCTCTTTCTGATGGGAGTTCTATTCAAGTTTTCTCCTGTTAGTTAGGTGTCACAGCTCTTATCCATTACATGGATAGGTGGGGTCACCAGCCCTGAAGTCAAGTAGGCTGAATTGCTTGGTGTACTCTTGGTTCTGTCTTCAAAGCAGTCAATAGTACTTGAGTTAGGTACTTTTTGTAGACAGCTTGTAAAACAGCCTCTCAGGGACACCAGGCTCTGCCCTCAGATGACTATTAGCTGCTCCCAGTGATGGTAGCTTGAATTTCAGAAAACAGAAATTGGCACTTAATACTTTCAATTTTCCTTCAACACCTCTGACACCTTAATTGTGTTTGTGATCTTTTTTCCTCCTGATCTCTGAATCCCATAAATGCTTATTAGAGTTATTAGACCTCATGATACTGCAATCAAATTGGGTATCTGCTCAGAACTGGCTTTTACTCTGCTCCCAGTGGGTTGTCAACATAGGACAACCTCCCATCATTAGCAGTATCTGTGCTGTGAGAGGTGGAGTATTTGAGGACAGAACCAAGCAACTGTCTGCACAGTGGCATGAAGTTAATTTTCCCCCTAAAGCACGTGATAATCAGCTATGGATTTTGGCTATGTGAAACTATCTAGAGCAAAAGTTAAACTATGATACAATCACAGTAAAGAAGCACATGAGAAAGAAAAGTGTGTGTAAACAGCAGAGAGGAGACAAGCAAGCAAAAAGCAGCAAGCATTTTCTGTCCTTGATCATGATGAGAACTGTAACAAAAGTAAGCAATTTTTTCAGTGATCTTTAACTTGACTATTATTGCAGTGCAAAATTAGTGTGTGAAACTCATTGCTGTAAGAACAGCCTCCCACTTTTTATTTTGATTTCTTAAAGCTCATTTATTTATAAAGAAGCTGAGACAATACAAAACCTTATTTAATACACAGAAATATAAATATTAAGATCTCATGTTCATTACATGTACAGCAGGTTAACAGGGTGATAATCTGTTCATTTCTAGCAAGAAAATACTATCATTTTTATCTGTGGCAGCTGGTAATGGCTCCTGTCCAGCAGGAGATTAGACCATCTATCCAATCTGATTTGAAAATGCCCATGTTTCTGATGTCATTCCTATGAAATAAATAATGCTTGATCCGTTTTCGTGGGACACAGGCTGTAAGTCATTTACACTGATACAATACAATTGGTCAAAATTACCCTGGCCCAGAGTCTGAAGTGTGGTGCAGGCACCAGCTACTGCAAACACAGATCTGGCTAGCCCTTGGCTTGCCAAAACTCAGGTATGGGGTCCCACATGCAACACATGCACATTAACTGATGAGCAATTCCCTTTCTTTCCCTATAGCTATCCTTCAAGGAGGCCTTTGTCAGCATTGTAGTACCATGGCCCTGCTGATACCTGCTCTAAGTGAAACAAGGCAGGTTTTTTGTCATTTAGGGCCTGAAAAAAATGAATAAAATCTGGCCCAGCTAGAGAAGAGGAAAGACAAGGGCATTATCAATCTCCCCCACCCCCTGGGTCACCCTTACATGAACTGGCCAAGTTAGACACTCAGATGACTTTGGCATACAAACATCTCCTTGGGCTGCTGAAGAAAGTTCATGCTATTTTGATCTGGGGACAAATTCATTTCAGTGCCAACCTGGCTATCAGTAGACTCCTAGGCAAAGCCATCATGGCAATGCAGGGTTTGGAGGGTCCCACGATGCGTATCTATTCTCTTCTGAGATGAAATCAGACACTCCCTTGCCACTGGTGACAATTCACACAGGTTGCTCTCACAAGTCTCCAACAACAGGTACTCAAAAACCTGTAGATACATCTGTGCTTAATGGCCCTTGCACAGAAGACTTCCTTTACCAAGAGTCAAGCCAATTACTCCTTACCATCTCCCCAGTGGATGCAAAGAACAACAGTTTATTCCCCTTTCTGTAACAGCCTCCAAAAGGTCAAGAAAAGTTTGTGCCACTGTTCCTTTCTCTTTTTCCCTCTCTCCAGCTCAAATCAACTGCCTCAACATTTGCTTCCTGGTCCTGTCTTCAGGACCCAAGCTTTCACCACTCTTGTTCTTCCTCTTCAGCTTGGTTCTGCAGCTGCAAACACATGGCACAGGACTACCCTGAGTTACAACATCCTCTCTCTTACATTCTTGCTAATTAGAATGACACATATCTTTGTGCAACAGTATTCCATTGCTGATCACTGGTGGTGATCAGCAATGCTGATTCTATGCTTCCCCTTGGGCACCCTGCTGCCTAACCAGCCATCTCCTATTTCGAAGCTGTGCATTTAATTTCCTCTCTCTAAATGCAGCATTTGCTCTTATCTTTATTGAATTTCATCACATTGATTTTGAGCCTTTCTTTCAATTTATCAAGATAATTTTGAACATAATCATGTCCTGCAAAGTGCCTTGTCCTCCCAGGGGGGCTTCTCTATTCTGTAATGTGAGTTGTTAATGAAAGTATTGATCCAAAAGAGACCAGAAGTGACAGCTGGAGAGTCTCACTTGTAGCACTTTCAGAGTCGGACAGTGAGCTCTGTATAACTGCTCTTTGAGCACACTGCCTCAGCCACCTGAGCAGCCTCTTTATGGTGATTTTACCTAATTCATATTTCTCTGCTTTGGTTATATGTATGTCACTGTGTAAGACTGGATCAAAAGCTTTAGTCAAGTCAAGATGGATTGAGATGATAACCTTGATTGCCTCTCCCTTATTCATAAGGCTCTTTTCTCTGGGGAAAAAAAAGGAAAATAAATAGTACTGGCTTGATAGTCTATTCTGGACAAATCCATGTCAACTTCTCTGAATCACCTTATTAGGTAGACATTTAATAGCAGTGTTGTAATTTATTC